GAGAGAGAGCAGTGCAAAACGGAAATTGAATATTAACTTATTTCAACTTATGACACCAGTAATTAATTAAGGGAATGCATGTTTCAATTAATCGCAAGCGTTCAAGATTTCACCTACGCGTTTCAACATGCGCTTCCAGTTCGTTTTTTTATTCTATTATTCCTTTATTTATTTATTCGTTCCCCTTTCTACCCTATCTTTATGGAGCAATCGAAATCGGTGCACATCGGGGGTTGCGCTAGCGATTTAAAGGAATTTTACATTTGCCGTTTAATAAAATCTTTCGGATTCCCGAATCCGATTTGGAATTCATTCCGACGGTGTCGCGAGATCACAATGTAATAAAAATAAGGCGCCTTCTTTCGAGGGACGAACAACACGGCGTGGACCGCCGCCCTTTTAAAATAAATATACAAATCCGAAGGGGCTGGAAGGAAGAGAGGTGGAAAAAGTAGGTAGAAAGTTTTCAAATTAATAACGATTCAGATTTTTCTTCCTCTTCGACGCGTTTCCGTTTATTTTACTTTTCCTTGGCCTCGATGCTTTTGTTTTTCTTCATTTTACTTACTTGTGGTAAAGTTTATGAAGTAAATTGTTTATACAATAAAGAATGAGTGTGCACATAAAATTTCCCAGCTCTGTGCTCAGCTTTCTCTCGGTATGTGTCTCTCTGTTTGTATGTATATATGTATGTATGTATGGGACGGCGGCACACAATGAAAGCGTATTCAGAGGGAAATGTATTTCAATTATGCGACAGCAGAGTATGTTCGGGCCAACGGCACAACAAATTCAAAATTTAATCTCGCCACCGCTCAAGAGAGCGTCTCCTGCGCTCACAGAAAGGCAAAAGGAACGAGCATATTCTTATGCACACTGCTCTCTTGCACAAAGTGTATAATATACAGATAGAAAACTACTAAAAAAAAACATGAAATAACAAAATGAAACGACGAAATACACTTTGAGTTTGAAATACTTTTTTTTGTAATTTACAAATCCAATATAGAAATACAAAAGATATAAATTTTTTAGTAATTTTCTAATTGATAAAATATTTTCATTAGAATATTGGATATGTTTTACAAGAGTTTTATAATAATCGTTGATTATAAGCTTCTAATTACTAAATTCAAATGTTTTCGTGAAAATAATGTAAACCTATATATGATTAAAACAGTCCTTTCTTAAAATAAATGATATTAAAATATAAATACATAACTTTAACTTATTAACATAATTACAATTATGTGTATCATTAACATTTAGTACATATATCTATAATGTGCTGTAAGTACATTGTGAACAATATTTCTGAAATAGGCCTTTGATGATATTTAATTAGGATTTTTTTTGATTAGTTTATAAATATCTGTTACTGTAAATATGATATTTCTGCAGTATGTAATTGTATTGACATACATTTATTTTAGTTGATACTACATGAGTAATGGAGCACGCTTTTTAATTTTAACCATCACCGTTTTAGTATAATCAGTCTGCTTAGTAATTCAATAATTCAATATTATAAACTCATTGCAACTTAAATATTTCTTGCAAATTATTCGATTAACGAATTATAATTGATCGATAGGAATTAATAATATTTATGTGTTTTGTATTATTTACGAAAGGATCATTGAGTACTTATGTTGTGTTTTTGTTTCAATAATGCGGATGCGAAAAACCAGTTTTATCTTAGAAGATACTTGCGATTCCGATACCGGTCTTTAGGGATTGGACTTCAGACCCTACTTAAAGATTTATGTTTCGGTCCTTCATTCTCCTACGAGATGGTAAAAAATAGAAAAATCGATTACTCTTAAATCTATAAATTAAAAAAGAGTATATTTCACTTTCTGTTAAACTATATACTACTTAAATAAAATAAAACTATTACTGGTGATATATAACATATTCGAATAGAT